CGTGTCCTCATAATCCAAAAGAAAGTAAATTGTTTACCATGTGATTCCACTTACCATGCTTCCTATTTCTTCCTGGGAGTTTACCCCACCAAAATTACTCTGTCAGCCCTTTCCGGCCCTGTGGTGACATCAGGAGGAAATGGGACCTTTCAGTGTGTCTCACAAAAGGCATATAATAGGTTCATTCTAACGAAGGAAGATGAGAAGTTCTCCAGGCCTTTGCCCTCACAGAAAATACACTGTGAGCTATTTGGAGCTGTGTTCACAGTGGGTCCTGTGACCCCCAACCAGAGGTGGAGGTTCACATGCTATGGGTATTATTTGAGCACCCCCCAAGCATGGTCAGTGCCCAGTAACCACATAGAGCTCCTGGTCTCAGGTAAGGAAGTGCAGAACTTTCCTTTGGCTGTAATTGCAAGTGACACAGAATCCCAGGAAAGGACCTGATGTGTGATGGTTGATTGTGAGCTATATGAGCTAGGGTTACTGAATTCAATTTCTCAGAATGTGTGATACTACTCGACTTGAGGAACAGAAACCAGGGTGGGTAGTAAGAATGGAAACAAAGATCCAGTGTGGTCTTTATGTGTCCTTCTGCTATTGCAGATCAGCTATGTGTCCCTGCAATGGTGACCTTCTCTGCACAATTCTCCTAACAGATGCACCTCCTTTCTTTCTTCTTCTTTGCTGGGATCCTTCATAATCCCTCAATATGGGCTGAGCCAGGCTCTGTGATCACATCAGAGAGTCCTGTCACAATCTGGTGTGAGGGTACCTGAAAAATCCAAACATATGTGCTACACGGAGAAGGAAGTCTAGAACCATGGAACAGACAGACCTGAAAGAATCACAATAAGGGAAAATTCACCATCACTTCTGTGACAGCACTGCATGCAGCGTGATCTTGCTGCTACTCTCACAACTTTGCTGGCTTGTCAGAATGCAGGGACACCCTGGAGCTAGTGGTAACTGGTGACGGGATAGTCTAGAGTCATGTGGATCCCAAGATGTGACTCTTTTTTTAACCTTTTAAAAAGAGTCACAATTATTGTAAAAGCTAACATGCATGTTTCTGAATGTACCTCACAACCCCACCTGAGCATTCTACAGCACATGAAATATGAATATGTCTATTTTTATTGAAAAGAAGCAGTACCTGAATGAGTACCTCATCTCCACCTGAGAATAATGAATGATAAATAATGAATGGAGCCTCAACCTTATATAACTGGCAATTTTTTAATGTAAAGTACATTTTTTTTGTTTTATCATTGTTCTTTATTAAGAAATTTTATACTCACTCTACATACCACCCACAGATCTCACCTACCTGCTCCTCCCACTCACCAACCCTCCCTCCCAAGCCACCCCACATCCCCACATCCTCCAAATCAAGGTCTTCCATGGGGAGTCAGCAGATCCTGGCATACTGAGCCTAGGCAGGTCCAAGCCCCTTCCCACTGCACCAAGGTGTCATACCACAGGCACTGGACTCCCAAAAGCCTACCTATGCACCAGGGATGGATCCAGATCCCCCCGCCTGGGTGCCCCACCCAAACAGTTCAAGACAAATAACCATCTTCTATATCCAGAGGCCCTAGTCCAGTCCCATGGGGGCTCCACAGCTGCAAGTCCACAGTTCATGGGCTTCCACTAGTGTGGCCAGTAATCTCTGCATGTCCTCCCATCATGATCTCCATGTCCCCGGCCTGCAGAATCCCTCCTCTCTTTCATTGATTAGATTCACAGAACTCAGCCTGGTGCCTGGCCATGGATCTCTGCATCTGCCTCCATCAGTCACTGGGCAAAGGCTCTATGATGACAGTTAAAGTGTTCGCTAGACTGGTCACCAGAGTAGACCAGTCCAGTCACCCTCTGGACAACTACTAGAAGTCCAAGGTGGGGTCATCCTTGTGGATTCTTCAGAGCCTCCCCAGCACCCTGCCTCTTCCTATTCCCATGATGTCCTCATCTATCATGGTATCTGTCTCCCTGCCCTCCCACCCTGTCCCTGTTCCAGCTCAACCCTCTCATTTCCCTATGTTCTCATCCCCCACTCCTCGCCCTCTGCCACTGCCTCACGCCCAGGCCACTCATGCAGATCTCATACACTTCTCTTTCACTGGGCCATCTATGTGTCTCTCCTAGGGTCTTTTCCTGTTAGCTGGCCTCTCTGGAGCTTTGGTTTGAAGTCTGGCCATCCCTTCCCTCACATCTAGTATCGACTTGTGAGTGAGTACGTACTATGTTTGTCCTTCTGAGTCTGGGTTACATCATTCAGGATGATGTTTTCCAGTTCCATCCATTTGCCTGCAGATTTCATGATTTTTTTTACTGCTGTGTAGAACTCCATTGTGTATATGTGCCACATGTTCTTTATCCATTTTTCAGTTGAGGGGCATCTAGGTTGTTTCCAGGTTCTTGCTATTTCGAATAATGCTGATATGAACATGGTTGAGCATGTGTCCTTGTGGTAAGATTGAGCATTCCTTGGGTATATGCACAGGAGTGGTGTAGCTGGGAATTGAGGAAGACTTATTCCCAATTTTCTGAGAAACTGCCATACTGATTTTCAGAGTGGCTGAACAAGTTTGCATTCCCACCAACAGTGCAGGAGTTTTCTCATTGCTCCACATCCTCTCCAACATAAGCTGTCTTCAGTGTTTGTGATCTTAGCCCTTCTTACAGGTGTAAAATGATATCTCAGAGTTGTTTGGATTTGCATTTCCCTGATAAGTAAGGATGTTGAGCAGTTCCTTAAATATCTTTCAACCATTTGATATTCTTCTGTTGAGAATTCTCTGTTAAGCTTTGTAGCCCATTTTTTAATTGGACTGTTAGGTATTTTGATGTCTAGTTTCTTGAGTTCTTTATATATTTCAGACATAAGGCCTCTGTCAGAAGTGGGGTTGGTGAAGATCTTTTCCCATTCTGTAGGCTGTCATTTTGTCTTATTGACCATGTCCTTTGTTCTACAAAAGCTTCTCAGTTTCAGGAGGTCCCATTTATTAATTGTTGCTCTCAGTGTCTGTGATACTGGTGTTATATTTAGGAAGTGGTCTCCTGTGCCAAGCATTCATCCTACTTTCTCTTCTATCAAGTTCAGTGTAACTGGATTTATGTTGAGGCCTTTGATCCAC